AAAAAAAAAATCTAACTTCAATTTGATACAAATTCAATACAGGCCTTTCAGTCTCTTACCTATAATGGAAAGATATTTTCTTATCTCCGGAGGATGTTGAAAGTACATAAGAATTGATATAGACCAAGTTTCAAACTTCTGAGAGAAAAATAAAATCCATACCCTCAAATTTTCTAGTGTTTTTAGGATGCTTTTAAATGGAATTTATGAACTCAAAAGAGGATAAAATATTTTCATCAGCTCGGTGGGAGAAGGTAATGTTTAGATTTTTTAAAAGGGATTCTTAAGAGTACTTTATGCATCTGACTCTTATTTCTGAAAGCCAAGAAAAGCCTCAAGTACTTAGTAACTGCTGTTTCTGGTCTTAGATGTATAGCAAGAGGTATAATTTTATAGGAAAGGTTTTGACCAAGGAGTTCACATTGGGTAGCTCCACTATGGAACAAGTAGTCCAAAAATTAGCTTTTCACAGTCATCGAATAACAACACAAGGACTATCCAAAATTACTTACCTATCTTCTCAGGATCAGTTATACCAACTGTCAAGTCAAACTGGTCCTCCTGTTCTTCTTCCTCTAGCTTTTGAAATAAAAAACAGATCATTGTAGTTTACACCACCACTACACAAAATCAAACAAACAAAAAAGCCAAACCACCCCAGAAGAGTCAGCTATTAGTTTTAGCTGTTCTAAACTTCTATCAATAAGATGTATCTTTGCATGTCAGTGTTTAATTGTCTATCCCAAATAATCTTAAAGCACAAACAACAATGATTTTAGGTTGGGAATCATTTCAAAGGTCTTGGAAAAATCTAATTCCTTAAGTTTTTCTTTTCATTATATTAGAGTGGAAACTAATTGGAGGCTGGAAGACTTGCAGCTTTCAGACTAAAAAGGCAGTAAGTAGAGGATATTCTCCTGAATATGAAGGCTTTAAACACTAGATATCACTGGTGACCAGAGAAAGTTTTTTAACTGTTTTCTCAGAAGTAGTTACCATGCTTTGTCTTACATACTTTGGGTATGTTGTTACATGCTGTTGAATGAGAACTGACCCATAGCTAACCCTCCAGCAGGTTTTCAGAGGCAGTAAATTGTATGGAAGGAGATTGCCCATCCTCCTGTGGAGCATCTGGTAGATTCAAACCATATGCCTTTGGGATTGCAGTTCAGCTTCTTACCACTAAGCTACCAGACCTCTTATGTTGGGCATGTGGTATGAAGAGGGACATCATTCTTGAAAAGGTGCTGGGTTAGTGAAAGAGAGGAAGACCCTCAACTAGATGTACTGACACAGTGAGTACTGCAATGGGCTTAAGTGTGTCAGGAAGTTTGAGGATGGTATAGGACAGGAAAAGGGTTCAGATCTGTTGTGCATAGGGTTGCTATTGAGTTGCACGCAACTTGCTGACACCTAATAACAATAGGTACCATGCTCAAGAAAAAACTCAAAATTTAATGCTGAATTGGAACTGAGTCATAGATGACCCTTCACTGGGTTTCCAAGGCTGTAAATCACATGGGGGGAGACTGCTTCTCTTTCTCCTGAGAGCAACTGGTAAATTCAAATTATCAAAGAGGCTCAGCCTTTGGGTTAGCACTGTAACTCCTAATGGACTAAACTCCCAGGGTTCTTACTGGATTCTGGCTACTTACTGACCATAATGGACTACTTAAGAGGAATAAATACTGTTGTTGTTAGGTGCCATTGAATTAACCATGACTCATAGTGTCCCTATGAACAAAAGGTCTGAACCCCATTCTATTCTGTGCCATCCTCATACTTTCTGACACACAAGAGCCCAGTGCAGCAGGTATCTCAGGATTTATAGACAACTGAACTTCAAAATTTTTGCTGCTGTTGTTTGTCACTGAGTCAGAGCTGACCCACAGCTGACCCTCCATTGGGTTTGCAGGGGCAGTAAATCAGACAGGAGGAAACTGCCCGTCCTTTTCCCATGGAGCAGCTGGTGGATTCAAACATGGATTCAAGCATGCCTAAGGGTTGGCAGGGCAGGTTCTTACGACTAGGGCACCAGTAGCATAGAATCCATCCCAAATCCAAAAGTAAAAAAGTCCAATCATAAATATTCTTACCTCTTCATAGCTTGGCTGGGGCTTAGAAGAATGTGTGTTTTCCTGTGGCGGGAGGGAAATGAGTGTTTTTCCTGGTATCTTCTTCTGATTATTCTGAGTGCTGTCCAGGGATAGCTCCACTGTGGCATCTAAAAGGAGTAGATATTTTAAAACAAGGTCAAATCTGAGGTTTTGACAGCCAAATTTCATTCTATGTCAAAAGATTTTTTAAAAAAAAGTAACTACTCTCAACACTTTTGTCATACTGAGTCGTGGCAAAAAAATGAGTATATCAATCACTATTCCTTCCAAAGAAAATGCAGAAACAACTACTAGAATTTAAGTAATAATATCAGAAATCAAGGAAAAAGACTACACAAAGTTTAGGAATATGCCTTTAGTATAATTGTAAAAGATGTTTGGCAAACAGCATTACAAACCAATATGCTAGAAGATTTGGGTGTACAGACCAGAAAAAAAGGACATAAAAGGAAGACTCAGGAAAATGATAAACTAGAAGAAATGGATAGGTACAAACAGTGATATAGGGAAAGAACATAGGTTCATCTGAAAACAGCATTGCTACTTTATTTAGCACAGTTAAAAACTGTTCGTAATTAAGGTTTTATATCATCTTATAAAGATTAAATTGTTTAATAAGCTTGTCCAAGACAGGAGGGAAAGACATGCATTAACTGAAAATCTTTCTAATCAAAAGCATTTTAAAAAACAGTACTTTAAGGTCTGGGGAACTGAACTCATTCTTACTTAAGTATTTTAGAGAGGAAGTATTTGAAATAGTGTTTGCATTCATTTAAAAACATTACAAATTGTAAACAAATACAAATTTTAAAAGTACATATACTTTATATTTCTGTTTAATTATATGTACATTAAGAGCTTTTATTTGCCTGAAAATCTTAGGAGTTTTCGTCTAAACTTATGAGGAATTTAGGGTGCTCTTCTTTTGGGGGGAACTCTCCAGAACAACCCAGCGAAGTATGTTAGGATCATATAAGTCTCATATAAGTAAGTAAAAAATAGACCTAGAAATAAACAGAAAGCCCTAATCATTTAAAACTTTAGGCTTATGTTTTTATCCTACTGTATGATAAGATTAAAAACACACTATTAATCAGAAGCCTCAGGTCAACATAATCATAAATGCTCATACAGTTACATAAATCCATAATAACTGATATTAACAGCTCCATCTGTGGCTCAATTCCTCTATGGTCTTTTAAATTTGGTGAAAACATTTGCTAAAAGGTTCTGCAGAGACTCAGACCCATCACAGGAGTGAGTAAGATGACTGCAGATATGCAGGCTGTTTTTTTCCACAGAACTGGTGAGCAATGAGCCAGGCTGGATGCCGCTGGATGCTTAAATATGTTTTCACACGCCCCTCTTTGTCAAGAGTGCTCTTATATTGATCCTTCAGCTTTTGCTGATTTGAGAAACCATGTGTCCATAATTAAGATAGTTGGAGACCAGAGGGGACTAGGGTAATGGCTAAATAAAGCCAATCTTAGGCCAACACAGCAGCTTAGTAGAGTGCTACTAATAGCCTTTCAAAGAACTGGATTTTCTATTAAAATTCACTTGAAAAAAATGTCAAAACTTATATTAAAAAATTATTGCAACAATGAATGAGTGAAAACCTTTCTGTAAACTTTCATTAAAATCAGAATTAAAAATATATCTTTGTACTTTTGATAATGGAAAAGCCTGAGCTTCATCAGAGAGACTCGTATTATCATTAAAGAAATCAGGTGGAAAACCAAAGAACATTTCCTTTTTTTTTTAGAACATTTACACTTTCACTGCCAGTATCTAGAACATCTGGAGAAGCTATTCAAGTCCTAAAATGTCTCATTATAAACATTCCTTCCTTTAGACATTTCTTTCTTTCTTAGGATTGGCTACTTGAAATATGTAGATGAAAGAAGTAAATTAAAAATCCTCATTACTAATAAATATGACATGAATAAAGATTTCTGCCAACTGACAGGAAGAGATCTACATTTGTTCCCATCCAAAGAAAGGTGATCCGACAGTGTGGAAATTATTGAACAATATCATTGATATCACATGCAAGCAAGATTCTGCTGAAAATTATCCAAAAAGGACTGGAACAACACATCAACAGAGAACTGCCAGAAGTGCAGGCTGGGTTTAGATGGGATCATGGTACTAGGGATATTGTAGCTAATGTTAGATGGATCTTAGCTGAAAGCAGGGAGTACCAGAGGAATGTCTATCTGTATTTCACTGATTAAGCAAAGGTGTTTAACTGTGTGGACCACAACAAACTGTAGCTGACTCTGAGAAGGATGGGAATCCCAGAACACTTGATTATACTTGTGTGAAACCTATATTTTGACCAGGAGGCAGTAGTCAGAACAGAGCAAGGAAACACTGCATGGTTCAAAGTTGGGATGGGTGTAAGCCAGGGATGTGTCCTATCTCCATCCTTTTCAACTTTTTAATCTATATGCAGAACAGATTATCCGGAAGGCTGGGCTCTATGAGGAGAAATGTGGCATCAGGATTGGAGGAAGACTCAACAATCTGTATTATGCAGATGAGAAAACTTTGCTTGCTGAAACAGAGAAGGACCTGAAACGCTTGCTGCAGAAGGTCAAGGACTACAGCCTTCATTATGGATTGAAGCTCAATATCAAGAAAATAAACATTCTCTGGGCCAATTGGCAGCATCATGATAGATGGAAAAGAGACTGAGATTGTTAACATCTTTAGTTTGCTTGGCTCCATAGTCAACACTCTTGGCATGAGTGGCCAGGAAATTAAAATAAAAGACGAATTGTACTGGGAAAGTTTGGTGTCAGAGACCTCTCCACAGTACTGAAGAGCAATGCATTTGTAGAGTAAGGAGTGCCTGACTCAGGCCATAATCTTTGCAATCACTTGCTTGCTATGCAACAGAGAGCCGGACAATGAATAGGGAAGATAGAAGGAGAACTGAAGCCTTTGAGCTGTGATACTGGAGAACAGTACTGAATAGATCATGGACTGCTAAGAGAACAAACAGGTTCGTCCTAGAGAGGATGAGACCAGGCTTCTCCTTGGAGGCAAGTATTCTGCATCTTCGTCTGACATACTTTGGACATATTGCAAGGAGTAACCAGTCCTTGGAGAAAGACTGATTCAGTGACTGGGATAATTTGGGTAGGTGTGTCAGAGACAGTAAGACTGGCATAGGATAGAGGAAGGTTTAGGGCTGTTGTACATAGGGTCACTATGAGTTGCAGGAGACTTGACGGCACATAACAACAACAAAATGTTCATATAGGGAACTCATGTGGCTTAGTAGTAAGGAGCTACACTGCCAATCCAAAAGCACAACTGTTCAAATTTACCAGCAGCTCCATGGGAGAAAGAGGGGCAATGCCCTCTTGTGCAATTTACTGTTTCTGAAAATCCGCTGGGGGTCAGCTATGAGTTGGTTCAAATTAAACAGTATACAACAACAACATGTTCAAATACATAAAAATCACAAGTCATGCTAAGACTTCAGGTTGTAGGAAAGGTCATATTAATATCCTAAATATAGAAAATTCTTATTTTTTTCAGTCTGCCATATAATTTAAAAAAAAATCATTCTTGTCAAGTCAGAAGTGACCCTTCAGCTGATTTTGTTGTTGTGTGCCACAGAGCTGGAACTAACACATTGCTGCCCCTCTAGTGGTTTTCAGAGACTGCAAATTTTATGAGAAGAGATTAGACAGTCTCTTCCCCCACCCCCCCATTGAGCAGCTGGTGGATTCAAACAAGGAGTCTTTGGGTTGGCAGCACAACTTCTTACCATCAGGCCAGAGCTCCCTCCTGGTGATTTTGGAGGCTATAAATTGCATAGGAGGAATTCTTTTTCTCTAAGAACTAACAATCAGAGAGGTTCAGCATTTCTGGGTTAGTAATACAACTTCTTTCAGATGGAGCTCCCTTCATGCAACTAAAGAGAACTCATCACTTAGATTTTTCTTCCAGAAATTTTATCCAAATAATAGTCACTACCAGAATGAGGATGAAAGGGACCAGATGAATCTTTGAAATTTTTATTTTTTTAATTCTGACCAATTCTTCCTCTGCATATCTTTCACATTTCCTACCAGATATCTAATGTGAGAGTCCTTTTGAGATCTTTGTGTCTTCTCTTTAACACTCTCCTTTGCTCTGGAGGATATAGTCACATGGCAACTTCCACTTCTACGGAGACTCTAGTATGATGCCTGCCTGCCCTGTCTCCAGCCTTCTTTATTTCCTCAGATATGAAGTTCCAACTGTATCTTGGCCAATTCCTTTTGCATTTCAAACTTAAAACAACTAAAATCTAAACTCACTCCTTCTGCTGCAGGACCTAGGTTTTTCTTTTTCTTTTTTTTTTTTATGTGGGTCTCATTTTCCTCTCAATCCTTGGACATGAAACTTTTTTTTTTTGCATTTGTGTACCATCGTATCAGATCTGACTGGTACAGGAGGAGATTGCCCCTCCTTCTCCAGCAGAGCATCTGGTGGATTTGAACCGTATGCCTTTGGGATTGCAGCGGAGCTTCTTGCCACTAGGCCACCAGAGCTCCTTGACATGAAACTTTTGACTCTTGTCTTCAGTTCTCATTCTGAACACTCATTATATCTAATAACTAACATCAGATTTTATTATATCTTTTGAAGTTTCCACATTTCACTTCCTACTTCTAATCATCTTAATTTTGGTCTTGGCTACTTAATTTTTAAACTAATCTGATATTTTATTATATCTTTTGAAGTTTCCACATTTCACTTCCTACTTCTAATCATCTTAATTTTGGTCTTGGCTACTTAATTTTTAAACTAATCTGATATTTTATTATATCTTTTGGAGTCTCCAGATCTTTTTATTGTAATCTACTTTACACAATCTCACTAGTTTTCCTCAAACATTAGGTGGTGGTTGTTATGCGCCATGGAGTTGCCTATGACTTATAGTGGCCCTATGTACACCATCTGTGAACCATGCTTTATCCTGAGCCAGTCTCACTGACTCCAATGCACCTATCCCCATGACACCTGTTACTGTAACAATCCATCTCATCAGGAGTCGTCTTCTCCTGCTCTGGCCCTCCACCCTTCCAAGCACGATATCCTTCTCCAAGGACTGGTCCCTCCTGCCCACATATCCAAAGTATGTGATATGGAGCTTTAAAATCCTTGCCCCCAGGGAGAAACTAGGTTTCACCCTCTTCAAAACAGACCTGTTTATTCTCTTCACGGTCCACAGTATATTCAATATTCTTCTTCAGCACTGTAACTCAAAGGCATCGATTCTTCTTCCATCATCCTTACTAGGGGTCTGGCTCTCTGATGCACAGCAAGTAACTGTGAAGACCATGGCCTGGATCAGGTGCACTTTAGTCTCTAGATTGACATCATTACTCTCTAGCACTTTGGAGAGGTCTCTGACAGCAAACTTTTTCAATCCAATTCATCTTTTGATTTCCTGACACCAAGAGTATTGATTGTGGAATTAAGCAAGCTAAAATTGTTAACAACTTCGATCTCTTCTCCATCTATTGTGGTGCTGCCAATTGGCCCAGTGGTAAGAATCTTCATCTAATTGATGGTGAGCTTCAAATCCATATTCTGCAGCAAGTGTTTCAGGTCCTCCTCACATTTAACAAGCAAGGTTGTGTCATCTGCCTATCATATATTACTGATAAGTTTTCCTCTAATTCTGATGGCACATTCCTCATAAAGCCAAACCTCCCAAATGATCTTTTCCACACATATATTGAAAAGATAGAGACAGAACATATCCCTGACATTCTCCTTTCCTGATTTTGAACCATGCAGTGTTTCTTTACTCTGAAAACTGCTTCCTGGTACAAGTGTGTAGGTATTGAATTAGCATAATCAGGTGTTCTGGGATTCCCATTCTTCTCAAAGTTAGCCATGATTTATTGTGATCCATATAAATGCCTTTGCATAGATAATGAAACACAGACAGACAACATTCCTCTGGTACTCTCTGCTTTTGGCCAAGATTCATCTGACATTGGCTCTGGCACTATAGCCTCTTCTAAGCTCAGCTTGTATTTCTGGTAGCTTTCTGTCAATATACTATTCCAATTGTTTTTGGATACTTTTGCGCAAGATTTTGCTTGCATGTGGTGTTAGGGATTCAAAGAAAAACAAGAGATTCAATAAAAATTAGCATCTGAAACCCCTAGGTTTCACATGGAGGAGTCTGGAATCATCTTTGCCCTTTGAAATCAGGTAACATCCATCCTCCTAGAATTCCAACAAGGTTTGCTGTCAGGGATTCAAAGCAAGATAAGAGATCCAACCAAAACTAGCGTCCAGAACATAAGTTTGCCCATTATAATTTTCCTTATTCAAAATTGCCAATTAGTGCTAAAATGAGACTTTAACCTATAACTACTTATGTAGAAAATTCTCCCAAATTACATTCTTTAGCTCCATATCCCATAGTTTCTCAAAAAAAAACCCTGAAGCTCACTTATACTTTCTACTTTCTCTCAATTTACACTTTAATTTTCCCACATAAATATTCCTTCTTCCAGGAAGTCTTCAAGGTCACTCTATTGTTAGGGTTTCTCAGTCTCTACTAGACTTTTTGGATTAGATAATTCTTTGTTATATTATGTCTTACGTATTACCAATTAGATGCCAAGAGTAAATAGTATTCCCTAGCCAGTTGTGACAATAATGTCAATGATCATTGACACATATCTCCTAAGGAAAAAAACCAAAACAAACCCAAACCAAAACTATTGAGAATGGGATGTGTCCCTAGACAAAGAATTATTCATTCCAGTATCATAACAATGATAAAATTGATAATTCCTGCTCCAAGCCAGTTATTTTCTAAACTGTAGATTGTAGCTAACTGGCATTCTAGATTGTGGAATCAATTCATAAGATGCTAAGAGGATTCAAAACCAAAAGAAAGGTGGGCTCTCTTTCCCGCCTTTTCTGCTGACAGCATGTTGTAAGGTTTGGTTTCACCCCTGTCTTTCCAGGGGTCCTCTCCCCTTATCCCTTTTCTTTCTTCTTCACTTTTAGTCTTTTATATGGCCTTTTACTAGCTTTGCCACTGTTTTATTGTTCTAATAAACCTTTTTTCACTTGTTTTGCTAAAAAAAAAAAAAGATTAAGAAAATAGAAAATTTCAGATTATATAAAAAGTATCCAAGTAAATAACTTTTGGTTTGGTTTGTATAAATATGTTTATATTTTGAATTAGCACATAAAATCTATTTCTCTATGAATATCCCTCATAAAAGTCTAAAACTACTGTTTTAATCAGTGCTTTCATACTTCCATGTGCTCCTGTTAGTATTTCTACCATTCCTCAAGCCACACTTCTATTCTCACTAACAGTTACATATCTCATGTTCTTAACTAGCTGTATATTTTAGTATTTCTCACTCCCTAAACTTATGATGGTAGTGGTGGTGTTTTGTGCCACTGAGGCCAAACTAACCCATAGTTGGCTCTCTAGCTGTCTTTCAGAGGAAATAATAAACCATATGAGTGGAAATTGGCCATCCTTCTCTTGGGAGCAGCTGGTAACAGCTTGCCTTTGGGATGGCAATGCAGCTTCTTACCACTAGGCCACCAGAAATCCTTTATAATGATAGTGGTGGTTGTTGTTATGTATCGTAGAGTTGGAACCAACCCAAAGCTGACCCTCTGGTGGGTTTTCAGAGGCAGTAAATCACATGGGAGGAGACTGCCCATCTTTTTTTTTTTTAAAGTCTTCTACAATAGTATTTTACATAGTTATGGTCCTGATACTTGTATTTGGCTCCCCATCTCCCTTAAACCTGTCCCTAAGCAACTTAAAGTCATTTCTATACTTGCCTGCAAAGAGATCCTGTGGCTCTTGATCTTGTTCTTCATTAACCCCATTTTCTTTGGAGCCACTGTTGATGGGAGGAAGAGATGAAATTCTCTTTGGAGAGTGGGGCTTAATCTGAAAACAAAAAGATATTCTAAACAAAATAGCACCAATCCAACCTGTCTAGAAAATTACTTTTAACACATCCCCTAGTTACTCCTATAGATGTTGAGACAAAGAGGGGATCATTGTCAGTTTAATTTTCTAGTCTTTTATGTAAGCAACAAATTAGTAGTATTCTAGAGATCACAGATATAAAATTCATACATTTTAGGGATAATTTTCTAGCATTATTACCTTGCTATAAAATGCCCTACTTCAAAGCACATGATACAAACACCAAACTGTGTTTATAATGATAATTTTAAAACAATCTTTACAAATCCATTATCCTGCTCAGATGATGACTTTTTCCCTTTCAGTTACTGGTGTGGGCACCTTTCTAGTGATTAGGACACCACACTTAAGTCCAGAATTCAAACTGAACCCATTTTCCTTGTGTTTTTGGCTAAACTATTAAGCCTTGTCAAACTATTACTGACCCACTTGACAAGGCAAAGGAAGATATAAATCTAATGCTATTTGTGAATAGAATCTCATTTCATCCTTAACTCAAACAATCTTCAATCCCACCCCATGTCAGATTAGGAGAATAAAAACTAGCCATGCTTAGTCTAGTGGGTACATCATGAAAATCCATGATGTTTGTTAAAAGCTCAGTAACTGCTACAAGCGAGGGTGGGGTGAGTCCGTGCAAGACTGAAGAAAGCTGGATTGTGCAGAACAGAAAGCTAGGAAAATGGCTTCAAATGCCTTGGTGTAACTCTTGGGGTGGGGGAAAAGGGGTGGAGTAGGGTTTGAAGACAGATCTTAAGGCCAAACCAGTTAAAAATACTTGATTTAAAGAATCTCTTAAGAAACATTTCCTTACAAATCTGAAAGACTTTGTTCTTTGGAGACAGCCTTTTCTGTCTTAACAGAACAAAGTAAGATGAAAGATCTACTGGGTACTTTGAATTTTCCATGCAAACAGTCCCATACCAACATTAAGACCACCCACTGTGGGAGAACCTGTTCTCAATATTTATTTGTATTAGCAAACAATACATTTACTGGAACTTTTCTATACTAACAAAGTCTAAGAACACTTAATTGTGCATGCTTAATCTCTATTCTTTTAGAGAACTACTAAATAGTACCTATCCTCTAGCACTTAACAATCTTTTAAAAAAAATGAATGAAATAAAGTTTTAAAATCACTACAAAGACAGAAGACAAGTAACAAGCAAAGATAAAGCTTGTATTTTCCCTTTATTTCACACATTTCCAATTACCTTCTCCCATATATATTCTTATATAGTATCCATGATAGATATGGAGTTGACTGCAACTCACAGTGACCCTATAGGATAGAGCAGCACTGCCCCTATGGCTTTCCAAGGTGGAAATAAAAAGAAGAGGAACAGTTGTAAGCAGACACTAGTGATTGGAACATGGAATGTGAGAACCATGAATGTAGGAAAATTAGAAATTATTAAGGAAGAAATGGAATGCATAAATATTGACATACTAGGTATTGCTGAGATGAGATGGACTGCCATGGGGCATTTTGAGTCAGATGATCATATGATATATTACTCCGGAGATAAAAAGGCGAGAAAAATGGGATTGCTTTCATAGGTAAAAAAATAATTTCTAGGTATGTCTTGAAATACATACAATATTTTGAGTGACATGATAATATCCATATGCATACAAGAAGTCCAGTGAATACTACTATCATTCAGATATATGCACCAACAACCAGAGCCAAAGAAGAGGAAAAAGATTTCTACCAACTTTCATAGTTAGAGATCGATCGAACATGCAATTAAGATGCATTAATAATAATGGGTGACCAGAATGCAAAAGTTGTAAACAGAGAAGAAAGATCAGTAGTTGGAAAATGTGAACTCGGTGAAAGAAATAAAGCTGGAGATAGAAATGATTAAATTTTGCACAATGACTTATTCATTGCAAACACATTTTAGAAGAAACATAATCTCAGGTTATACACATTATTTCAACTGATGGTATGCATAGGAATTAGACTGATTACATCTATGGAAAGATCCACTGGACAAGCTCACTATCAGCTGTGAAAACTAGGCCAGGTACTGATTGTGGAACAGACCACCAACTATTCATATGCCAAGTTCAAGCTGAAGTTAAGGAAAATTAAATCAAATTCACGGGAACCAAAATATGACCTTGAGTCTATCCCACTTGAATTTCAGAACAATCTCTGAAACAGGTTTGAGGCTTTGAACACTAATGAGTGAATACCAGCTGAGTTGTGGGAGGATATCAAGAGTGTCATCCAGGAAGAGCACAAAAGGTCATCACAGAGACAGAGAAGAAAGACCAAAATGGATGTCTCTGAATATTGCGCTAGAGCACCGAGAAGCCAAAGCAGAGGGAAGAATTCAAGATATTAAAAAGCTAGACAGAAGAGTTCAAAAGGCAGTATGGGAAGACAAAGGAAAATAATACAATGAAATGTGTGAAAGCTGGAGTCAGAAAAACAAAACGGCTGAACTTGCTCAGCATGTCTTAAACTCAAGGAAGAGAAGAACAAATTCAAAACCTCGAGTTGTTATATCTAAGGATGCTTTGGGAAGAATATTAAATGATTCAGGAAGTATTAAAAGAGGGTGGATAGAGTATACAGAGTCACTGTACCAAGAGGAACTGGGAGACACAGAAGAATTTCATGAACAAGAGCATATGGTGATGAAGGAAGAAGTTCAAGCTGCTTTGAAGGAATTGGCAAAAAATAAGATCCCAGCAATTGATAGTATACGAACTGACGTCACCACGTTGTGCCAAGAAATCTGGAGGACAACCACTTGGCCAACTGACTGGAAGAGATCTTTATTTGTTCCTATTTCAAAGAAAGGTGACCCAATAGAGTATGGAAATTATCGAACAGTATCATTAATATCACATGCAAGCAAGATTCTGCTGAAGATTATCCAAAAACAACTGGAACAGC